TTAGAAACTCACTTTAGTAATCATCGGGACATGTTTTACCGGAGCGGATCTACTATGAAACTAATGAAGCTTAAGCTTCAGGGCCCCTAGTCCTAGAGGGGCCCTAAAGCGACTTAAAAAAAAAAAAAAGAGGGAATTTTTCAACAAAATTGATGGATAGGTTATCAAAGGCTTTCACAGCCGAAGTTCATTAGCTGTTGTAGATTTTCCCGTTTGTGTGGCCGTGGTCCTGGCATTGTAGGACCTGAGGTTTCACCAGTAGCTGTGACTGGCATCCTCAGAAGTGTAACACAGAAAGATGGAGTATTGTCTGTGTCAAGGCGAGAAGAAAAATGGTAGGTATTGTCTTCTCACCTTGAGGAGGAGGAAGAGGAGATTGGATTTATACCCCGCCCTTCACTTGGGAGTCTCAGAGCGGCTTACAAACTCCTTTCCCTCCCCCTCCCCACAACAGACACCCTGTGAGGTAGGCAGGGCTCAGAGAGCTCTTTCGAGGACTGTTCTTGAGAGAACAGCTCTGACAGAACTATGGCTTGCCCAAGGTCATCCAGCAGCTGCAAGTGGAGGAGTGGGGAATCAAACCCGGTTCTCCCAGATTAGAGCCCGCGCACTTAACCACTACACCAAACTGGAGGATAGCCATCAGTGAGGGCTGGTCCACTGCCCACTTTCAGAAGCCTCATGACTCACTTTTGGGTACCCGACCCACATGTTAGGAACCACTGCTCTGGACAGCTTATTGTTCTCCCTGCTTTCTAGTATGAAAGGTGATTTCCAAGATCTGGTAGCTGATCCCAGGACTTCTCCACGTTTCTCCATGTTACCTGGAATCAAAGAGGGTCCCGTCCATCAGGGTGCCATTATAATGGTAGCGCACGAAATCCCCGGTCACAGCCTTGCGCTTGCACGACTCGGGCACTTCCAGATGTTCCAGGAAAATGCCATCTTTGGGGTTGTGTAGGTCCACCAGAAAGACATCAAAAACCAAGGAGGCTTGAGGAGGGATGACAGTCCCTGGGAGAGGTAAAGGATGGATTCAGGTCAGACTGAATTACACCTGGCAGGGAGCCCCTGAAGCCAGGGGGTGGGAAACAACAGAGCAAACTCCACCCCGTTTGAAGGTCACTTAATCTGGTTTCTGAATATAATTCCTGTGCTTGATGGCTTCAGTGGATACTCCGGCAGAGTAACGCAGAGTTTGTTAATTTATTTTAATGTATTCCACCATTTGTGATAAATGCCGACGTAAAGTCAGTAGACTTTGGCAATCAGAGGTTGATATTCTTGACCTCTTCCTTAATGACGCATAGGCCCGGGCCAATGTTCATTTCATGAAGAAGTCGGGGGGGGGGGGCTTGCCAGCTTCCATGCAGTCAAAAATGCTTCTGCAATTTTTGAGAATGAGAATACCCCAAAGTTTCCGAGCAAATGGCACAGTCCCAAACCTCTCCTTCATGTGTTCTGTTTGATCAGATGAACATTTAACATGAAGACAGATCAAGACGGGCAGCCGTGTGAGTCTGTCCGTAGCAGCAGAAAAGAGCCAGAGTCCAGGAGCTCCTTCTGAAGACTAATAAAACTCGTGTCGGGGTATCTGCAGAAGTGAGCAGCGACTCACAGAAACCCACGCACTGCCACAAATTTTGTGAGTCTTTCAGGTGCTGCTGGACTCTTGCTCTTTTCTACGTTTAACATGAAAAAAACACGAAAACCAGTTGGCAAGCGCAAATGCTGACCTTGAATGAATGCAACGTCTGGAATACGTTTTTACAGTCCCGTTCGGGTCCGAGGCCACCTGAGCCACCCTCCCCTCCCCCTGCCGAAGATCCGGGAGTCTCCCGTCCAACATACCGTAGCCCTTCTCTCCATAAGCCAGGAATGGGGGGATGACTATTCTCCGCTTCTCTCCCGCACACATGCCGAGGAGGCCCTGGTCCATGCCTTTGATCAGCCAGCCCGAACCCACGTATGTGTCGTAAGTGCTGTCTTTTCCATAGCTGGGAAGCGGGCGAGGGTGGGGAAAGGGGAAGAGAGACATAATGCACTGAGCCAGTTCCGTGGGAGACACACAGACAAACAAAACTTCCCTGCATGTGGTGAACTGGCCTAAATCTTATTTCCTGTCCCTAGCTTATAACAAGCAAGTGGCTGCCTGATAGGACTTGAGAGAGATGTTCTCCTAGGTAAGTTATTATGTTTGCTGCAAGCGTTCTGATAGGACCCCAGAAAAATGCTGCTATTTTAAGAGTTTTATACTCACGAAGAGAATTTATTGCGCCTTATGTCTTGTATGTATATCACTGTCCTTGAAAAAGACTGTATTCGATAGGAGTAAATTACTAGGTAGGTAGTTAGGTATCGTTTTATTGTATATGGCCATAAGCCTTCACAATATCAAAACACTCTCAGAAAATATATACATTAACATATAATAGAATATTTCAACCTCTATTAAAACATATAAAGCACCTGTTAAAATTATCTCGACCTCTGGTCTTTAAAACCGAGAAGACCTTTTAAAATCACTCACTTGGTTGCAATGGTACTATCTGATATCTATGCTCTAATTGTTGTAGTGAGGGGCGGGGCTTGTTGCATGTGCCCGCCCCCTGGGCTGTTTTTGCTCTAATTGTTCTAGTGGGGGGCAGGAAACGACCCCTGGTTATGGGTTTCAGCTCTGCTTCTCCTCCTTTCCAATCTGCTGGGACCAGATCTGCAACTACGGCTTGAAGCTGCCTTATACTGAATCAGACCTTCGGTCCATGAAGGTCAGTGCTGCCTACTCAGGCTGGCAGCGGCTCTCCAGGGTCTCAGACCGAGGTCTTTCACATCACCTACCGCCTGGCCCTTTTAGCTGGAGATGCCTGGGATTGAACCTGGGACCTTCTGCATGCCAAGCAGAGGCTCTTCCGCTGAGCCGCAGTCCTTCCCCTTCCACCTACCTGGAGTCGAAAGGGGTGCCGTCCAGGAGGGTGCCGTTGTAGTGGTAACGCACAAAGTCTGAGTTCTCCACGGTACGGTTGCAAAGCTCTGGCTTGTACACGGTTGTGATCTGCAGCTTGTCGTCCTTGTTCCAAATGTCGAGCATGATGACGTCGAAATAGAGGGTGGTGTCTGGGGGAATCAGGCCAGCTGGGGGGTGGAGAACAAGGTCAGTTTTGACATAGATCAGACGGGACATTCAGTTGTTCTGCGAAAGAAACTGAAATCAGTGCTCTTCTCCGCCAGAAATGCAGAGGGCATCACAGCAGGCCCGTAGCGACAGTGGGGCATTTCGGGGCCCTGCCCCCTTAATTAAAAGCCCGGCCCCACAAATAGCCATGCCAGAAATCTTATTTTTGCATGTTTCCCAAAGGCTCATGGGAATGCTTCTGAAAGACTCACCATGACCTCGGTGGTCTACCACAGGACTGGGCCAGCAGAAAGGGGGATGGCTGGAGATCTATTGAAATTACAACTCTTGAGGGCCCTTCGAAGCTTTCTTGCCCTGTGGAACTCAAAAGGCATTTAAATGCCTTCTGAAGGCAATTCAATGTCCTCTGAGCTGTTTTTTTCCTGGGAACTGACGCGTTCACTGCCCCATCCCTTGAAAGGAAGGGCTAGAAACAGGCTCGGAGCCTCCCCCTCTAAAGACAGGCATTCAGATTAATTTAATTAACTGTAATTTAACTGCCCCCTTAACAATTTAAATGCCCCCTGAACAGCCTCTTCTCCGGGATCTTCCAGCACGCACGCAAAGCACACCCCCCACGATGACGACACCCGGAAGTGACGTCATTGCATTGGGGATGCTGGGGGGTGATACTCTAGTTTTTGGGCAAAACTCTCTCTATTTTTTTGCTTTCAAAACCATAGAGCCTGCCCAAAAACTAGAGCGTCACTCCCCGATGTCCCCAACGTGATGATGTCACTTCTGGGTGATGTCATCATGCCTGGGACACCTCCTAGAGACATCCCTGTTTGGAGGTGGGGCTTCCCCCGCCAGCCAGCTGGCCGGCAGTAAATCGGAGCTCCCCCACAGCGGGGGAACCCCTGCTGGGAACTGGGGATGGCAACTCTAGTCACATGGTAACCAGGGGCCATTTCCTGCAGGAGCGCACAGGAGCAGAGCTCCGGCAGTAAAGAGCCCAGGGGGGCGGGCACATGCAACAAGCCCCACACCCCACCCCCCGCTCCCCGCAACCCCCAGTCCGGGGCAAAAAGGTAAGCTGCAGAGCCCCCCCCCCCCGGCCAAAACAGTCCAGCGGCACCTTTAAGACCAAGGTTTATTCAGGTACAAGCTCTCCCTCCTCTGCGAGGGCAGACCTGCATGTCCCCCCCCCCAATAGCCAGCAATCCAAAACAGTCCAGTGGCGCCTGAGCGGTGGGGGGGCACATTTCTGGTGATGTCAGGGGGTGTGGCATATGCAAATAAGTTATGCTAATGAGGTATGCTAATGAGCTCCTGCACCTCTTTTTCTACGAAATGACCCCTGATGGCAACAATGTTAACACATAAACCATACATTGGTACTATAATCTGGTACAGAATTTCAAGTATTTCCGGATTTGTGTGTCATACAGTTTCTAGCTGCCATGTCTCAAAAAGGATACTGCAGGAAAAATGTAGAACAGGGCAGTCAAGACGATGATAGGCTCTTGGCCTATAGTGAACATTGGTAGGCTTAGAAGAAGAAGAGAAGAGATTGGATTCACTACCCAAAGGAATCTCAGAGTGGTTTACAAACTCCTTTCCCTTCCTCTCCCCACAACAGACATCCTGTGAGGTAGGTGGGGCTGAGAGAGAGCTCTTGACTGAGAACTGCTCTTTTTCAAGAACAGCTCTTATCAGAACTACGGCTTGCACAAGGTCATCCAGCAGGTGCAAGTGGAGGCGTGGGGAATCAAACCCGGTTCTCCCAGATTAGAGTCCGTGCACTTAACTACAACACCAAACATTAGGAATGTTGAATGCTAGTTAATCTGAAGTGGGTAGCTGGCAGGCGATAATGATATGAATGCAATTGGGGACTGGAAGGAACTTCTCAGTTTCAGGTACTGACATTACTATGTATAGGTGCGAAAGCCAAACAATGAAGAAAGGGGACAGGAAGAAAGCTGAATCACTTGAAAGGTGGTGTGTGTGGGGGGGAGTTTTACAGAGACCGTGGACTGCCCAAAAGCCAGATCAGTGGCTTCTAGATCAAAGTCTCCCTAGCAGCTAAAATGAACTGAGGCTATCATACTTTGGGTCACATCATGAGAAGATGAGACTCACTGGGAAAGACAATCGTGCTCGGAAAACTTGAAGGCAGCGGGAAAAGGGGAAGACCCAACATGAGATGGATGGACTCAGTAAAAGAAGCCACAGACCAGAGCACGGCTGTTAGTGATAGGATGTTTTGGAGGCCATTAATTCAAAGGGTTACTGCGATGGCTCAAGTGGTTAAGACGCTGAGCTGCAGGCTGGAAGGCCGGTAGTTCAGCAGTTCGGGACCCAAGTGTCGCGTGACAGAGTGAGCTCCCGTCTCTGGCCCCAGCTCCTGCCAACCTAGCAGGTCGAAAGCAAGAAATCGCCAGTAGATGAATAGGTACCGCTTCAGTGGGAAGGTAACGGCGTTCCGTGCGCCTCGCCATTTAGTCATGCTGGCCACATGACCACGGAAACGTCTTCGGACAGCGCTGGCTCTTCGGCTTGGAAACGGAGATGAGCACCGCAACCCTAGAGCCGGATTCGACTGGCTTTCGAGCAAGGGGAAACATTTACTCATTCATAGGATTGCCGGAATTTATAACTCACCGACGCCGATGCTGCCGTAGCCGAGATGAGGGGGCACGATGAGATGTCTCCTTTCGTTCACGCACATGCCCTGCAGGCCTCTGTCCATGCCAGTGATGAGCCGTCCCACGCCTGCCACTCCTGCCACGGTGGCGCCTCGGTCATAGCTTGGGAAGAGAAGCATTGTTGGGAGCAGTGAGCAGAACCGTTCAGATTTTAAAAGCGACTACATGCAGACTTATTATCTTCTCTTGCACTTCATCAGGGGCAAGCTGCTGTTTTCTCAAAGCTTTTGAAGTGTTCCAAGCGATACGTTTAAGAAGAAGAAGAGATTGGATTTCTACCCTGCCCTTCACTACCCAAGGGTGTCTCAGAGCGGCTTACAAACTCCTTTCCCTTCCCCTCCCCACAACAGACACCCTGTGAGGTAGGTGGGGCTGAGAGAGCTCTTGACAGAAACTGCTCTTTTTCAAGAACAGCTCTTATCAGAACTATGGCTTGCCCAAGGCCACACTAGCAGCTGCAAGTGGAGGAGTGGGGAATCAAACCCGGTTCTCCCAAATCTCCCAAATGCACTTAACCACTACTTTATGCTAACCTCCTCCCTATGGCAGTGCTGTTTTTGTGACTGCTGTAAGCACCTATTGGACAGTGCCTGTAACGTTACCATTATTGTTGTTGTTTTGTGGTTAATTGATAATAACATACCCTGACCTGGATAGACCAGGATAGCCCGATCTCAGCACATCTCAGAAGCTAAGCAAGGTCAACCTTGATTAGTACCTGGATGGGAGACCTCCAAGGAAGACTGGAGTTGCTTCTCAAAGGCAACGACAAACTACATCTGAACATCTCTCCTGCTTTGAAAACCCTAAGGAATTGCCAGAAGTTGGCAGCAACGTGATGCCTAATAATATTCAGGGGTCATTTCCTGCAGGAGTGCACAGGAGCAGAGCTCCTGCAGTAAAGAGCCCAGGGGGCGGGCACATGCAACAAGCTCCGCCCCCTGCTCCCAGCAGCCCCCGGCTACGAGGCACAAGAAGCAGCCAGGTAAAGTTGCAGTGGGTGTTGCCTTCTGACACACTTCCGGTGACATCAGGGGTGTGTGGCATATGCAAATAAGTTATGCTAATGAGTTATGCTAATGAGCTTCTGCACCTCTTTTTCTACGAAATGACCCGATAATAATCATAATGAGAGCACCAATGTGTCAAGCTATATTTTGACACTAGAGAATACATAAACTGTACAATTCAACCAAAATTAAGCATCTTGTTAATACATGCCTAACTTTTCTATTAAAAACAATGGGACTTAAACGTGGTTCAGTTTGGCTGGATCGTTTTAAAGAGCACATTCCTCCCTTTACCAAATTATTAAATTAATGTTATTTTTCCGCAAGATTTTTTTGTTTTAATTCTTTTTCTTGGAAAGATTCTGCCACTCTACAAGATTACTCTCCCTAAAGCAAGGTTTTCTCCAATCATTCAGTTTGCATAGTGATCATATTATGGTTGTAGGATCAGGGCTAGATCCAGGGTAGTGTTAGGGGCACAAGTCATTCCCTATACTAAAAAGAAGCGGTAATCTGTGCAAACCTTTCAAAGAGGGAACTGCAAAAGTTAAGAGGTATGAACATTTCCTGCATTAATCGGAGAAGGAAAAAAACCCAAATTCTGCTGCCTTTAAAATGCAGCTGGATAAATATGTAAAGAACATGTTAAGGCAGTTATCTTCACTGCAAAAGCAAAGAACCATCTTTTAAAACAAAATTGTATATCCTCCACCAAGGGAAGGACAGAAATTTGTCTGTTTGTTCCGTAATAACAAGGCAGCACTTCTGTAAACCTTTCCTTAAAAAAAAAGGAAAAGGCACTGGTGCTAGAGAAAGCAGTGAATGAAACATGATCTCCAGCTTCCTCTGCAGTTGAGAAGGCACCCGGAGGCTTGGAAAAGCAGGCTGGGCCCGTGCGGCTTGCTCACAGCTGCATCTGTGGTGGCTTAAAATCAGAACGGAACTTTCTTTCAAAGTTCTCTTGAATGTCAGATCCATGCACAAGTCTTTCTATGCCATTTGGCAGGACTGCTGGGTCTCATGCAGATTCCGGAAGGGAAAATGCAGCAAAATCCTTCCTTTGAAAACCGTCCGCTGCGGTCCTTCTTTCCAGTGCAGAAGCTGCTGCACATGAATGACACGTCTACAGCCAAAACTGCAGATTCCTTTGCGGGCGCCATCTCCTTCCCCGGCGTGCTTGCCTGCCTGTCTTCCGGACACCTTGGGAGTCACTATTTGGCTTGAAAGACGGCCGCTTCTGTTAAAAACTATGGTGCTTGACCCTTAAGGGAAATTTTGAAACTCCCCAATGCAATTATTTATCAGTCTTGATTTAAAAGGCATCAATAATGCAAAGGTTTATCAATTAGTAAACTCAAAAATATAGCAACCAAGTCCTGGAAAATGTGCATCTCGAACTCATGTTCAGTCTACTTAACACAAACCGTCTGGAATCTCTGTTGTAGATTACCTGTATGGCCCCTTCCAACTCTGTGATTCTATGATTCTATGATTATTATTTCTAAACAA